CTTTTGTTTCCCCAAATTGCCAAACACTTGTCCAAGAACCATTTAAAAAAACAATTCACTTGTTCTCCACTCATGGGAAATGCCACCAAATTCTTACACATACGCGGGTCCATTTCTAGGTTTTCTAGTCTATCCATGCATCATCCTTTGGTGTTCACTATCCAGTGCTAATTTCCTTGCACTGGGACTCCGGGAGTCATGCCAACAGTTAATGCGCTCCACTGTTGAGGGAAAGGTTGGAGGTCAAAGTTCATGGGGCAGCGTATAGGAACAAAGGCCTGGCAATCCACTTCTGAAATGGCCAGCCGTTGAAAACCCTACGGGGCACAGCTCTGCTCTGACACACAGAGGGTCACCATGTGACAGAATCAACTTGATAGCCGCTGGTACTTGGGGCATGAGCATTTCTTCATTATCCATTTCCCCAAAAGGCCTTAGCTCTTTTTAAAAATTCTGTTCATGCTCTCAGAGGTACACCAGAACTAAGTCTGTTAAAAATCCCCCATCCCTCATAGTTCCTCCGCCCCCAAGACTCAGACTTCAGCATTTGATTAAATTTAGAAATTCACTTGGCAAGAACATGATTTCCCCAGTACCAAGGAGCACTCCAGCATGTGCTGCTTCGGCCGGGTTTCTGCAGCCACCCTGCCTCTCCTTCTGAAATGGCCTTGTCAGAAGCATGATCGATCAGGGGCCGGAGGATCTGCGAGCTGGTGCTCACAGACTAGCAATAACAAAACGCATTCCATCTCTCGGCTTTGGACTCCGTCTCCAGTATCCGCCTTCTCATAAATCTGCACAGAAGAGATCTCGCTTTGCACCACAATCATCAGCAGTTCAAAACGGCCTGAACGGAAAAATCAAACTCCAGGGGCAACTGCTAAGCACATTTGGTGTCGAGTTGGCCAGCTTCTTTCGCAGCGTTCTTTCTTCCAACTCCCAAATACTTTCCAGTCTGTGAAATCCATCTCCCCTCCGGTGGTGGCCCCAAGAGCAGCTCCCAGCACTGGGACCGCCGCTCCTCTGTGGAGAGCTTTATCTTGCTGAAGCTGAGTCTTGAGAGCTAGCAGGATGCTTCCTTTGGCAAATCCATGGAGACCGGGGAGAGTGTTGAATTGACTGTAGTGCAGCAAAGTCTTAAACTTTACTCATGTCCTGAGGAAATCAGGGGCGGGCACCTCCAGGGCAGCCTAGCAGTCTAAAGGCCAAGAGGTTCTCCACGGAGCCCCAGTGGCCTAGTGGTTACTAGTTGGACTGTGTAGCCTTTCAAACACACTGGCTAGAGCTCCCTGGGAGAAAGATGAGCCTGTCTGTCCCTGCAAAGAATTACAGCCTCAGAAACCCACTGAGGCCCTCCTGCTCTGTCCTATAGACTCATCCACCATGAATAGGAATGAGGTGGCGGCAGTGAATAGTTGGAGAGGTACCCCAGGGAGGGGGGGG